AAGAAAAGAACGAGTGTCGACTACATATGTGGAGAGTAGATAAGTCTAAAATCAGTGGGTTGGACGATCCTCCACTTCAGCTCGTGTTAGATGGAGAGTCATTTGTTGTTGTCCCCAGAGGATGAATCCTGCTGATGATCCACAGACCTTTATATCCAGCACCAACCTGAGGACCATGAAATAAAATCCATACCTTCATGTTCCCCTCAGGATAAATGCCTTTATTCTTCATCTTCATTTTGTCCAATTCTTTGGTTTATACTCAAATTATATGAAGTAAAATAATTCCAAACTGATACAGCACATCTCAAACATGGAGGCAATTGAAGGTGTTTCACATCCAGACAGACAATCATTAGAGCAACATTAAAAAATATAGATAAAAATGAAATAAATACAAATGTAGTAATAGACCAGAAATACAGTTACAGTGTGGTAAACATCTAAACATCAGCAGCTCCACAGAGATGCTAACATGACCGTAGACTCTGTTTACCTCGACAGAAACCACAACATTTCATCTTAACCTAATTTAAAACGAACTGAATTTCAAAATAAAGGTTTGGGAGAATTTCAAAAATCACTCTTCAACCTTCATGCGTTCGTCTCTCTGAACAAACAACTGATCCTCTCTCTGCCCTTTAGACCTGTGTGATTCAACCTGTGTTTGCGTGTGTGTGTGTGAAACGAGAGTAAAAGATGATGTATGAACAGTGTTTGTGCTGGAATGTGTGTGTGTGTGTGTGTGTGTGTGTGTGTGTGTGTGGGTGTGTGTGTGGGTGTGCTGCTGTACTCGTCAGTGTTTTGGCGTCACCTGTGAGTATGTTTTTCCCTGCAGCACAGAGGCTGACAGGCAACAGCTTGTCTGTTGGCTCTGCATGAATGTCAACAACACACACACACACACACACACACACACACACACACACACACACACACATCAGGGCTCTATTTTTGTTCACTTACTACATCTACTCCAATCTCTGCTTTAAACTTCACAATGGATAAAAGCACCGTAGTTGGACCGTAGCACCACGTATCCTTCCCTTTGGGTCTACTTTCTCAGAAAACATAAAATCTCCTACCATTGTGATGAAATCACACACACTCACACACTCCTGCTGAAACCTGCTAACAGCCTAAACGCTGCTGCAGGGTGAAAAGTTTCCTAAAGCAGAATAAAAACGAGTCTTGTGTCCTGCAGGCGACTCCATCAGTTCTCCTGGCCGTCTGTCATTTAATGTCGATTCCCACGCAACACAAATCTCTTATCTTATTTTCAGACCCAGAATCAGAATCAGCTTAAGTGTGTTTGTGCGTACGAGGAATTTGACTCCTCAGTGTCCTCCAGCACACGGCACCAATAATATAAATAAATGTCCAAGGAGAAACTCAGTTTGTTCCTGTCTGTTAAGAGGGACAGAGGCCGCGGCTCATGCTTTTATTTCTTCTTGTCTGGACAAGAAGAATCAGTCAGTCAGCCTTATCTCGCCTGCAGCTGCTTCACAACGCTGTAACAAAAAACCTAAATAAAACACACATCTCCTCTGAACTTGGAAGATCCAGCTGTAAATCGCAGAATAGTTTGTCGCTCACTATCAGATCTAACCCGTCCATCTTTATCTTTAAAAGCCACCATCATCATCATGTCATCTCGCTTCTATACGTATTAACATTTACCACTTATTAATGCTACTCGTTTATTTATTTATTGGCCCTTATAATAAATCTAAGTTCTTATTTGACTGTAATTCTCGTCACTTATTATAAATGGTTTTATAAAACATATTATCAGGTCGTTCTCTTAATAAATGAAATATATCTTTTCAGGATTTCCACCGACTACAGGTTGATTTCTTCGTTGCCTCTTCTTGTGCTGAAAGGTCAGAGGTCAGAGTTGGCTTCGGAACAGCGACCCTGAAGCTGACAGGGATTGAATATCTTCCTGAAGATCACGTGTAATCGGAAACTGCTTCGATAACTTGACATCAGCTCCCTGGATCTCTCCTGAAACTCTCTACATTCATCACGAGTTATTGTTGCTTCACTGTTTCTTTCTGTCATCACGTCCATCTTCTGCTGCAGTACGTCTCCCGTCCGTGCTTTGTTTCCATGACAACAAACAGCAGACAAAAAAAAAAGGCCCAGGTGAAGGACAATGGAGGAAATCAGACACCAGGGGGTTGTCGTCAAAGGGCTGAAAAAAGAAAAAGTCACGATGTGGCTTCGTAACGCTGCGGCTCATGCACCTGGACACGATGTCAGTGATGATGATGATGATCAGCTGTTGATAATCTCTCACAGCATTTGGAAAATAGATCAAATAGTATTTAAAACTTTTACTCCTGCTTATATTTCAGCCACACCAGCAGCTGTGTGGACGGCTGCGACGGTCTGACGTCCGCTGCTTTGGTCCAAACTGAAATATTACAACATCCATCGAGTGGATTTGGCACAAACACCCACAGTCCCCAGAGGACGATGAATCATAATGACTGTGATGATCCTCTGACCTTTCCAGTGAGGCTCACAACACTGGTTTTTAAGTGAAATATCTCAGAAACTATTGGACTAATTGGACTCCTCATTAGAATAACTCATAATAACTGATGCTGTCGTCACGCCAGTGTGACCAAACTTCTGCAAAACATTTCCTCAGCTGCAGCTCAGACTGACTTCAGTGCTAATTAGCAGCTGGCTGCAGTGCTAGCATGAACAACGCTGGGTATCAAACTGAATTGGTTTGATGATGCTGAGGATTGAAAAATGCCTCGTCATTTCGATACCTAAGGAGTAAATGAGTAAATCTCATTAGTGTCAGTGAGCCAATCAGCACGCAGCATGCTTGGACCAAGTCCTAATAACTCTGGTGATTGGCTGTTTATGGTACAAATTGTAGTTTGTGTGTTTGCGTAAATAATGTGTTGTAATTTTCTTTTTGTTAAACTGGATTTGATGAAAATGGATTTGAAAGTAAAGTATCATTAAGATACACTGTAAGCACCGTCAGTGTTAGCGTGTTAGCATGTCGACCTTGACATGTTTTCAGCAGTCGTCATTCAGTGCTTTTAAAATCTGTAATTACTTCTCTCAACTGCCTTTTACCTGCGAGAGAGAGACTGACAGGAAACAAAGCCGCCTGTAATCCAGTGTTAGTGTTTTGTAATTTGATGAGACGTGATATCAGCCTCTCTGTTTACTCTTCTTCACTCTCCTGGAGCCGGATTAAGTTACTGTCACTTCCTGTTCTTACCACCGAAGTAGAAAAACAAAACAAGCTTCTACTTCTGAGGTTAATGTAACTCCTTCTGATGGAAACAGGATCGTTTGTGTAAGAAAATGTGACGTGATGCGAAAACAAAGAACGGGACAAAGACGGCGTTTTTAAAATGTTAATGTGCATAAAAATAGCTTTATTTCCGATAAATCAGAACCTGCATGCAGAAGCCAATGATTCATTGGCTTCTTCACTCCATTGGTGATTCACATGTGATGTTTGTGACATTAAGCAGCAGAACATACGTTATCTCTCCCATGCGCACTGAACAGACCTGGGGCCGATTTACCATTTATATCTCAATCCAAGGCGGAGGTCAGCCGATACCCTCTGACACACTGGAAGGAAACACGTATCAGTGTTTTCTTGATTAAATGTGTTTGGTTTTTTTTGCGGGGGAGGTAAAAGGCCTTGAACGAGGATCAAGACGTTTCTTTCTTTCGAGGCCAGGATTGTGAATTTCCAAAATACACGTTTGCAAATTTATATCGCTCCGTTTTTGGCTACGAATGAACAAAATCCAAGCAGTAATCGCCCCCCCCCCAGGTCTGCCACTGACAACATGGCTCATCGGCACCACATCCCCTGAACAACGAGATGAACACCAACCACATAAAAGCAATCCTTCTACAAACAAAAACAAACAAACGGAAAAAAAAAAAAAACATAAATACAAAAGCAAAAACAAAAAAAAAAAAAACAAAAGTCTAAAAAGATAATAGAAACTCTTACAACATAAAAAGTTTCAAAACTATTTGCTTCTGAAAATCTCAAACTAGTGTATATAAAACTTTTAAAATCACATATACAACAGCTTAAAAAGGGGGAAACACCCCAACCTGAAAGAAGGCAATAAAATAATTTGACAGTTAAATTAATACAAAAAAAAAAGAACAAGTTGATCTACTGGAGAAAAAAAAATAAAAAATAAAAAACCACTGGAGAACAATGAGAGGAGGTGAGTTAGTATTAGCATTGGTAGTATCAAAACTCATTTACATTTACAGTAAATCACAGGAACGTTACTGCTCAGGGGAAAACAAAAAAAAAAAACAAAAACAAATTTGGCATTTAAATATTTGGTAGATATTGTTTGTTGCCAGGATGTGGCTAAGTACCAAGTTAATTATTTTTTTGTTCGTTTTTTATTTTTTTTAATCTAATGACTATATACAAATCCTTGGTAGACCAGTCTGTGTGCTGCCGGCTTCAGCTAAGAAATGTGAGCATCACACCTTTTCATCATGGCTTCAGCGATCGCTCATAGACCTCATAATGGAAATAAAATATAAAACTAACAACAAACCGTCGGTGTAGCTTATTGAGCAAGCGTCACCCGCCATGAGTTAAAAAAAAAAAAAATTAAGAAGAAAGTACAAAAAAAAACAAAACAAAAACTACCAGTTTTGCCGATCACAGAGCTTAACATTTCTTATCACTGGACAAAATGATCAATAACATTTATTGGATCCATGAATAAAAAAAAAAATTAAAAAAAATGTTGCAAGAGAATGAGTGAGCACCTCAGCGGTCGGGCGTGAAGTGAGAAGATTCACTGGTGAATGTTTATTTGCAGAGGTGAAGATCGATACCACGAGATAAGGCTACAGTTAGCTTAGCTTAGCACAAAGAATGGAAACAGGTGGGAACAGCTAGCCTGGCTCCGTCTCATTTCTTTAAATCTTCATAAAGTGTAAAAAAACAAAACAAAAACAAATTTAGCTTGGAAGCCACTGTAAAACTGCAAAATAAAGTTTTTGTAACACCTAAAATTAAATCCAGTGTGTTGTTAAAAGCTGCATTTATGTTGTACTGAGGTATTGTCATTTCACTGTAATGTAACGTGCAGTATTTTAACCGTCTTTAACTGTCATTAACACGCAGACGCACCATCAGGAGGTGCAGGTGCTTGTTCCCTTTGTACAGAGCCGCGCTAGCCGTTTCCACCCATTTCCAGTCTTTGTGCTAAGCTAAGCTAACCAGCCGCTAACTGTAGCTTCAATCTGAACATCTAACTCAGCAAAAAAGTGTGTGTGTGTGTGTGTGTGTGTGTGTGTGTGTGTGTGTGTGTGTGGAATGTAGGTGTGTCACCCTGTAGGAGCTTGCTGATTCGCCTTCACCATAATAACAGAAAACAAACCCCGGAGGCAAGGCGGTAATTATTATAGTGGTAAAACATCTTCCTTTTTTCTTTTTGAAGTCCTCTTCCAAACTGGCAACGCTGTGTTCGACTCTGTGACCTGGGTCATACAGTATTTGCCAATTTTCCCCGGATTAGTTTAGCTTACTTATCTGGTGCTACGTGCCAGACGGATGGGACTTTCCCTCCTCGCGGAGATAGAAAACATGCCAGAAAGTTTAAAGGAAACGTCTTTTTTTTGTTGTTTTTTTAATGAAGTGTACAGGACGTGAGCTGAACCGTCTCTCAGTGCTCACTCAGCCAGTTGTGCAGATTTTTTTTCCTTCTTCTTTTTTTAAAAAGGCAGAATCAACCATTTGCAAGTACTTGTTGGCCCTTGTTTGGCCCTCTCTCTTATCTCTGTGTAATTTAAGGATAAAAATGAAGAAAAATAAAGTCAGTTCTAATGGATGACAGCATAAAACCAGCGTTCTGAAAAACTCTTTTCTTTCTTTAATTGAAAAAAAATGAAATGTCTTAAATCTCTCTGCATTACAAGGAGTTTGTTTAAAAAATTAAAAAAAAAAATCAAATATAAATGTTCACTTAAAAATCATTTGCTTCAGTCATGTGAGAAGCTTCAGTCCAAGAAACAGGTGGAGAGGAAGAGGAGGAGGAGGAGGAGGAGGAGGAAGAGGAGGGGAAATAAATAACTGGACTGTTAATGTGTACCATACAGAGACAAACATCATTGCACAGTGTTAGTGTTTTTAAACTGGAAGGTGGAGAAAGACAAAGAAGAAGAACGGAGAGGAAAAGGAGAAAGAGGAGTTTGAATTCTCCGAGTCCTCAGTTTCTAAAGTCGTGTTTTTTTTTTTTTGTTTTTGTTTTTTCTTTCCTTTCGACGTGGGAACAAATAATAAAAACACAAAACAGTGCACCGCAGCGGAAACAGTCCCACTCCTGTTGCTCCTTTTTCCTTGTTTGACAAAACCAAAAGAGAGGGACAAGAGTGACCAACGAAGCCTCTGATTGGTTAAGAGAGCACCAATAAAAATTAGCATACATCAGGGAGGAGGAGTCAGTCAATCGATTGTGTTGTCGGGGCTTCTCTCCTGATTCGTTATCGAGCGTCACTCGGTCAGAGGAAAAGTGAGAGGAGGAGGAGGAGGAGGAGGAGGAGGTATTATGATGATGTGATGATGATGATGAGGCACTGTGAGGCCAGGAGCTGGCCCTGATTGGGTTTTTAAGAGGTTTTAACAGGAAGTGAGGTGTGTGTTTGTGTGTGTGTGTGAGGTCGGGGCGGGGCGGGGCGGCGGGGGGAGGGGTTTAGCAGAGGTCGGGGTCTATGCATAGATCTCTGTGGTGGGGGCCTTCTTGTAGATGGGCTTCTTCCCCAAGTCGTAGCTGCCCTCGTCCTTCTTCTTCATGCGGTAGATGAGGAGGAGGATGAGGAGGACGGCGAACATCAGGCAGACGGCGCCGCCCGCGATCAGAGCTGGAAGAGACGAACGAGGGATAAAAGAGACATTAGAGGAAGATGAAGATGCAGCCACGACATTTACTGTGAGAATTGAGGTTGTGGGGAATTATGGATGTTTCGCTGTTTCACCCGACTTTTTAAAGAATAACAGACAATAAAGCAGTTGCACATTAAAGCTGTCTGACTGTCGAGCAGTACGACCGTTTAACGCCGTTTAAACATCGCCGCCACTCTCTTCGGGACGCGTACTGACCTGCGAGGACCTCCGTCTTGTTCAAGATGCTGTCCTCACTGGCGTGGGACATGAGGACGTTGGATGGGTATTCCTCGTTGGGGTCCGCCTCGTTGCCCAGCCGGGGGATTTCGTTACTCTCGCGTACGATGCCCTCCTCGTCGACGGTCGGTCGCACCGGCAGCTCCACCTCTGGGATCTTGTTGTCGCTGACGTCGGGCTGAGGGTGAAGAGAGGAAGTTGAAAACACCGTCTCAATAAACTGAGGACACAATAAACTGTAACTGGATGCTAAAGCTTCAGTAAGTGTGATCTAACATCTGGAAATGTCTCACCTTAACTGATGTCTCGAACTCTGTCTCAGGCAACTCAGTTGTTGCTGAGGAAAGAAGCAGATTCTTCATTTAATCTCAAGTGTTTTAATTTGCGAATTACAGTTCCATAAATACACAGTAAAACATTAAAATTTAAATAGATGCGTTTAAAATGTAATAACCAACCTCCATCTCCAGACCCAGACAACTCCTCGTCATCGTACTCGTAGTAATCGTCGTCTTCGTCATCGTCTGTGAAGCCGAAGTCAGAGCCGTTCGTAGAGTCTCCCGACGACTCCATGTCGTCCCGGTGCGATGACATGGCAACCATCTGTGTGGTTTTCATGGGCATCCATGTCTCCGTCTCCCTGACCTGCTGGGACACCAGAGACAGGACCAGGGGTCAGAGGGATACAACATGGGGGAGCTACTCAGTGTTTGTTTAACATGCCAGCATGCTAATGTCTGCCATTTGGAACTGAAGACAAAGTACAGCTAAGGCTGATGGGAATGTTATTAGAGCAAACTAGAGTAAAAGTCAGGGGGTCAACAGATGTTGACATACAATAAGTAAAGACTTTGACTTTTCTGGAGGCACTAGAGGAAAAGTCAGAGGATTATCACAATAAAAAATAAATAAAAAAATCCTCTGGGAACCATGAACATCTGTACCAAATGTTCATGGCAATCCATCCAGCTGTTGTCAAGATATTTCACTAAAAGCTGCTGTTCAATCACCAAAACACAGTGGACTTTGGCAGGTAACCGGCCGTCACCTGGACGGAGGTTTCTACTCCAAACCGCAGGAGTCTGTTCAGAGATATAATCCCAAAGCAGAAAAACAGTTATTACCAACTGCATGATGGTTACCGGGGCCGAGACGACCGCAAATCCTGACGCGAGTAAACCCGCACATTACAAGACCGACCAGAAACACTTCCGTCCCCTCGGTCGGGTTTTGGATTTAAAAGAAAAACAATTCGTTTAGATTCATTTGTTTCCGAAGCTCCGCCCACAGCAGCACCTTCAAATTAGCCCCACTAAATTTGACTCCTATCTGTCAACATGCTAACAGACTAACAGGCGGCCCTATCAGTCCAGATGATGATGATGATGATGAAGAAAATAGCTCTACATAGAACAGAGACTTGCCCCACAGCCGGCCCACTCATCACTGCCGCTCTAATCACTATGAAGCTTAACACAATGAAGACACATCCACCTCCTTTAATCACATTAGCACACTTAATTTCATTGACCATTTGCTCAGTAAGCAACCTAAATGGGATTAAAACACACACACACACACACACACACACACACCCCCATCAGCCTAATTATCATTACAGCACACCACATACATACGATTAATCAGCATTAGGCCTAAAGTAAACAGAGGCTGTGGAGGTAAAACGAGGTGAGAGAAGCTCATCACCGGGTCCTGAACTTCCACAGGAGACTTTTCACCCACTCTGGTATTTTCCATTATATGTGACAAACATTATGATCATATCTTGTTTTAAAAAGTGGTTTAAAGTAAAGTTCAGCTGAAAAGACCAAAGATCTGAGAAAAAAAAAAGAAAAATGATGTTGCATCTTTTTCTTTTGTCACATTCACAGTTTAAAAACCTGGAAAATACATTGATGCCTTGCTGAAAACACCGTAATCCCATCAGGCAGTAAATAAATCACTGTAGTATCCATTTAATTGATTAGTCAATTAGGAGAAAATTAGTTTAACTGCAACTTTGATCATCGATTCATCGTTTTAGTTGCTCAATTGAGCAAAAACTGCAAATAAAATCAACCTAAATTAAAAATAAAACTGATGTGAGATTTTATATTCTCTTGTTTTTTAAGTTTTTATATCATCATCAATTGAATATTTTGGGATCGTTAAATGGACAAAATAAGACATTTCAATTTTTGAAATTTGTGGCGTTTTGCAAGTTTTTTGTCTAACTTTTATCAGACTAATTGATTAATCAATTAAGCAACAGATCAAGCGATTAAAATAACGATTACTTCGCCCCTAACCGAACGCAACATGAGCATCCATTGATATACATTTATTCTACTTATATTCTACTTCCTCCCAGCTACCGAAGCAAAGCTCTGATTGATAACTGCATTGATCACATGCAGACTGACGGCGACGGTTTCTGAAAGAAAACCAGAGACGCTAAAAGAGAGAAGAGTGAGTCTTCCTCTCCTCCAATGAAAACTTCCATTTACTGAGAAGAAAAGATGACCGCAAATCACACTGGAAACATGCCTGGGCATCCCACAACATCCACACACACACACACACACACACACACACACACACACACACACACAAATTTGAGTATGATATATATATATCTTGCCATTCTGAGGTCTTGTGAAGTGGGGGGGGGGGGTCTTCATTTTAAGGGTTAACTGGTGGTAAAGCCTGCCCGGGGCCTCTCAGTATTGTGTGTGTGTGTTCAAGTGCTTGGCATAGTAACAGTGTGTGTGTGTTTGAAGGTAATCCTCTCTGCCCTTAAAAAGTAGCCTATATGAGTCGGGGGGGGGGGATCCTCCATTGTGACTGCACAGCGGCTTCAAACAAGGGCGACCATTTTATACTGTGACTCTTCTCAGCAACAAGGTGGACTGACTCCTGTGCTCTTTGTTTTTAGTTTCAGTCTACCCATAATCCTTTTCTTTTCTGTGTGTGTGTGTGTGTGTGTGTGTGTGTGTGTGTGAGAGAGAGTGAGACACTGTTACAGCAGTTCCACCTATCACTTTATAAATATATGCTTTTTAACTGGCTTTACACTGGATGTTGTTTTAAACACTGTAACACATCACTTAAACTTTAAACAGTTATTTCAACCATTTATTCATCATTTTTTAAACCAATTTCAACCATCACTTTTAGCTAACTGTTTCTACTCATCCTCACTAGTTTTTATGTTCTCTCAATCACACGTGATGTTACAAGTTATTTTCCTCCTAAACAAAAATATGTGCTTTAATCAAATCTTTAATAAAACTTTAATTTCTTTCTAATTACTTGTGCTAATGGAGGAGGCACTCCGCTGGGCTACAAGTACCCCCGGTTGTGGATCACTGCTCCATTATGTCCTCATTTAAACCCACTGGGGAGCTCTGATCCTCTGTGTGTGTGTGTGGTGTGTGTGTGTGTGTGTGTGTGTGTGTGTGTGTGTGTGTGTGTGTGTGTGTGTGTGTGTGTGTGTGTGTGTGTGTGTGTGTGTGTGTCTCTAATACAAAAGCTGTAAAATGGTGACTGCCGGCTCTTCATTTCCTCGCTACTGTTCAGATGAAAGTCGATTGCTGCCCGGGCGTGCTGGGACAAGCCCGCTGAGTCACATTATAAAGAATCGCACTCATACACACAATAATGTGGATTCATCGGCCAGGCCTATTCACTCACGTAACACCAGCATGAGTCATTTAAACATCTCCTTTTTATTCCAGTAACACTAATATTTTCACTCCCCGAGGCTCGTTCTGCTGTTCGTCTGAATCAAACTGGTTTAAAGGCCATGAAAACAGCGGTTGTTCAATCATTTTATCACCAAATCTGATATAAAAAAAAACCACAATCACACACTCCTGTTGAAGCAGATTAGCTGAGTTTTAGAATTAAATTGACTGAGTAATATCAATTTTTGTTTTACAAGTCTATAATCTCTTAATTAATCTCAGGGAAAGTAGGTTTTTCCTCCAAGTAAATATTAATGTTTTAGATTAACTGGATTTAAATGATTAGAAGTGTACTACCTGAACAGTAACTTTCCCTATAATGAATAACAAATATCATATTCCTTTCCAGGAAATTATGGATAGGTAAAATAAAGACTTTTGATGTTTGCTCCTCATTAAATCATGAATATTTTTATGTCACAAACCAAGTTTTCATGAGCTTTAAAATGGGATAACTCGCACTCACTGCACTCTGACTGTAGATGCATGAAGTGGACGTGGTAACAGAGATGTTACAGATTAATCCAGAGTTAGTTTTACAGCTTGTTGTTGTGAAGGATAAAAGAAAAATCTCATCTGTTAAGCCCCTGAGTTTTAAAAACAAATCTACTGCTTGTGTCTTGGACTTTATCTGATAAAAAGACGACCAGTTCAAAATCCACTGTGTTCATCCCTGTCGGTGTCCCGCAGTGTCAATAAAGCTTTTCCTACCTGGCTGATCCTGACCTTTAAACCCCCCCCCGCCCTCATGGTGAAATGTGGATGTACATTTGTATCCCAGAGTGTTAAAAGAAACTGGTGACTGAACAGTGTAATGTGTAACAGGCCTGTCTCAACAGGCCAAGACAGAGGAGGAAGAAAAAGATCAGACGCTGAGAGACTTCTGTTATGTTTTGTCATGTTAGTGTTAAGTAATGATGGCAGCTTCTATCAGATGTGAGGGGGGGGGGGTTGTTCCATCTTTACTATATTCTCCCCGGAGGCAGAGCCAGAGCGGGATTCAGGCCAAGTTTCACTCAGTCCATACAAGAACAAGTTCACTCTGTTCTGAATCCAAGACTGTACTCGGGAACATCAGACCCAGCAACAGAGCAGAGGATGAGGCCGGAAGTCAAAGCCGAACATCGCTCTGAAGTCGTGTTAAAAACCTCCCACAGGAGTCTGGAAGCGACGTGTTGCTCTGTTACTGTACAAACAGAAGAAACATGCGCTCACCCTGCACAGAGTGGCCAAAAGAGAAAGGAGGGAAAGTGTCTGAACTGTGGTTATGTAACCAGGCAAACATGAAAATCAGCTCTCACGTGGTGATTTTACAGCCACTGAACGAGGGCCTGTCTCATTTGTTAAACCCAGGTCCACTCGGTCGTGACGGCCTGCTGGTCAGGTACTGGGACTCTGGTGAAGCTTTAGGACGATTTTCTTTTGTATAAACTGAATAAAAAGAGATAAACGCTCAAGAAAATATAAATAAAATGTATATTTTAGTCAGGATTCCTTCTCCAAACTCTACAAAAGTCATAAATTCATTCATTGGATATGTAACCTAACATTATAATTAATCCCCCAGTGTCACTGCCACACATGATCTCAGAGGGAAAATATTGTCTTCACAGCCTTAATGGAGTCAAACTCTGGCTACGTGCGTTACAGCAGAGCCACAGAAGTCAAGACAAAACATCCTGGGAAAACTGATTACTTAATTACAACAATATATACTTAATGTGCAGGGGATGCACAAGAATAGACCGTGGTGATAATTGATGCTAAAAGCTCACGATTACCATCTCTACTGTGTCAAAACAACAATGAAAAATCACTTCACAACCAAACACGTCACCGTCTCCGTCAGCGGTTGAATACTTCTACCTAATGTGGCGGATGTGGAAAACGGCCAAACCAACG